TGGCCATTTTTTGGTTGCAGCCATCATTGTTGTTTGGCGGGCCGGGCTGGGGATTCAAACCCACCACCTTAGGTGTATGTGGCTGGCGCCTTAGCTGCTTGAGCCACAGGCGCCGAGCCTCCAGCACCTTTCCAAGGGTGGAAATGGCCACAAGCCGCAGGGACACAAAGCTTGTCACTATTTGCTGCAAACTTGCCACCTCGGAGGCCACCAGTTCAGCTGACCACTCCCTCCTCCAGGGGCATCCTTCACTACAAGGGGAGCTGCCCCTTCGCCTCTGCCACCCAGGCAGGGAGGACTAAGCAGACAGGTGAGTCTGGGAGAGCAACGCAGCCATGTGCGCCCTGCTCCTGCTCTCTCCTGCCCCTGGACACGGCCCCAGGGAGCACACAGGCTCTGTACCTCCTGCCTATGCGTGGGCACAGGCTCTGGCACTGTCCAGCATTTCTTGTAATGGGTTTGCCTGGCACCATTAGAGGCCAGCAGGTGCCAGGCAAACCCTCAACACCAGCCTCCTCTGGTGACAGAAGCAACAATTTCCTCCTCAGTCTGCCTTCCTCCTTGTCTATTTCTAATTCCATGAAGAACAGCTATGATCTACTGGGCCCTCGAAATTTCAGCAGACCCCCAGAAGTTTCCATGGAAGAAATCCCTTCAGCATTTGAGACTGGAGGGAATGGCTCTGACCCAGGAACCAGTCTGCTTTCTTTGGCCTTTTGGGCAGCAGTTAGTTGGGTGGTCTGGTGGAAACATTAGTTAGGTGGTCTGGCTAAGAACCCAGCCAGAGCAAAGACACAATGGGGTCCCCATCAGAGCCCTCAGGCAGAGGTACCGTTGAACCTGTCGATGGCCTCCTGCCGGAGGCCCCCGGTGATGCCACCATCAATCCGCTCATACTTGTAACCTTCGTACTCCAGGAAATCCTCCAGGAGGTCCAGCATCTTGGTCATCTGCACAGAGAGACACGTGTGAGGACACACCACAGAGGAAGGAGCTCCATGGGGCTGTGGGCAGGGACCCCACCACAGTTAGGGGAGAGAGCGGTGGGGAGTGGGGAGGCACCTGAGACCCAGGCAGGCCTGATGCAGGACTCTGGAAAGAACATGACCTCCAACCTCACCCCCTCAGAGCCCATCCAGTCTCCACACCAGCCCCGCAGCCATCTGCCTAAAACAGGGCTCTGACATGAGCCCTCCCACCCCCGGCTCACCCTGCACAGAATGAAGTCCCAGCTCCTCAGCCTGCTTTCAAGGTTCAGCAGGACCAAGGCTTCTTTCATACCTTCCAGCCATTCCAAACTACCTCTGTTCCTGGAATGCCTCCCCCTTACTGTCTGGGGAACGTAATTATCACCTCCTCTGTGAGGTCCTCCCTGATTGCACCCCTCCTCATGAGAAGAGAAATGCAGTCCTTTCTGAGCGCCTGTGACCCTGGACATTGCCCTTTGTTCTTGAGAGAGAGTTTAGCTGGATGTAAAACTATCAGCAGACATTTTCCCTCCCCGTACTGGAGATTTTGCTGTAGTCTCTACCACCTGCAGTAGCAAAGGAGACGTCAGAGTCGGCCTTCCTTGGTAGGTATCAGGTCTAAAGCACTGCGTGTTTGGAGGTTATTTATATTTCTCTCGCTTGGCACGCAGAGTGTACTCCAGATCTGAGACTTCACATCTCTCTCCAAGTCTGGAAACCCCGACTCCAGCTTCTTCACCTCTTTCTCCATTTCTGCTGCTGCTGCTCCGAGCAGATGACTGTTGGAGCCTCTCAGGACACCCTCTGGTTCTCTCTCAGTTTTATCTTTCTCTCTCTGCTGCATTCAGGGCAGATGTCTCTGCACCAGGGCCCAGGGCCTCAGACCCGTGTTACACAGTGCTCAGTCTGTGCAGTCTTTGAAATCAAGATTTCCTTCTGTTCCATTTTTCTACCCAGTTGTTTTTGTTTCATTTCTTGCAGCTTTTGCTTATTTAATTTCTTCTTTTCACTGAGTATCAGTTGCTCCATTATTTCTGAGTATGCTAAACATGTTTGTTTTAAGAGTCGAGGCTGGATTTGAACTCATGGGCTCGAGTAACTGAGATTATAGGTTATAAATAAACCTGTTTATTTGAAGTCTTCTGCGGGCTACCCTGCTGTTCTTTCCATTTAGGATTCTTATTATTTTATGGATGTCTTAGCATTTGGTTTTATATGGCTTTTGGAATTACAGTTTATAGGCTCATTTGGGTTTGTTGGATTTTTTTTTTTCTTCTTTTTAGAGACAAGGTCTTGTTCTGTCACCCAGATTGAAGTGCAGTGGCATGATCACAGCTCCCACCTTAAACTCTAAGTAGCTAGAACTACAGGTGTGCACTAACACATCTGGCTAATTTTTTTTAATTTTTGGTAGAAACGGAGTCTCACTATGTTGGTTCAGACTGATCTCAAACTCTTAGCCTCAAGTGATCGTTCATGGTTCCTCTCTGGGCACATCTCTAACAGTGGTGTGGTTCCCTCCACTTGGTCTTCCCAGCCCTCAGCCCAGACTCATGTCTCACGCTGGCAGAGGTATCAGGGAGTATGGGTGGCTCCAGGCCGGCCCACTGCTGGGTCAGCTCCTGCTCCCAAGCCCGGCCTGCTCCCCGGCTTCTTCAGCCTGCTACAGGCAGCTTGTGCAGCGCTCAGCTGACATTTGTGCCTGGGAGCTGCACCCCAGACTCTGGGATCAGCAGAGTGCTCCTAGCTTGGTCCAACCACGAAGGAACATTTTTAGTCCCAGGACCCTGCAGGATCATTATCATGGCCTCTGACACATCGCTGACCCCAGATACAGCTAACTAGACAGGGCAGCTGAGAACAAGTACTAATTTATTCATCCCCATACCCACGTGCCCAGCACAGAGCCTGACAAATACCCCAGGCCAGACAGCTCTGTCTCTGACTGCTCAAAACACCACAACACCAGTGAACCTTCAGGATCAAGCTGGAGAGAGGGGCTCCTCCCAAGCCAGCCCCAGGGCCCCTACTTAATGAGACGCCAGCTGCAGGAGAGGGAGAAGAGCAGGGGAGGGGGGCAAGCACACAGCCTGGATGTGCAGGACAGAAGAGGCAATGGCAGGGAGAGGTTGGTCTTTACAGCAAACCGCCCTGAGCTCCTGGACCTGGCCAGCTCCTGGGCAGCATCATTGCAGGGCCTAAGGATGACCCTTGACACACAGCCATGCAGCCATGCAGCCCCCACAGCAGAGACACCTGGCCCTGAGGGGCAGCCTTAAGCACCGAGACAGGATGCCTCTGTGCGGTGGGAGCTGGGGTCTGGCAGGCACAGCGCGGGGCAGTCACCTGGGAGAAGATGAGCACGCGGTGCCCCTCGTCACGCAGCTTCTTCAGCATCTTCTGCAGCAGCATGAGCTTCCCCGAGGACTTGACCAGGGAACTGCCATCGTACGAGCCGTTAGGCAAGACAGGGGCTTCCTACAGACACAGCAGAAGTGGGGTGAGGCAGGCTGCCCTCCTCTCTGACTCTGCACCAGACAGGCCACAGAAGACAGACAAGGATCCAGCATGGGCTGACTGCCCATCTGCCCTGCTGAGCACGAGGCCCAGACCCAAGCCAGCCAGGCTCAACAGCAAGGGACAGGCTATGGCTTGCATGGGCCCTGGCTCCAGGCACCACATTCCCAGGCAGGGCTCAGAGGGCTGCCAGCCCTGCCCTTGGTCCTGCTCCCTGGTTATTCACCGAGACATCAGTGACTAAACAGATGCCACAGAGTCTGTGCTAAGCCGGCCTTCCCAGCAGGAGTTTGGCCTGGTCTCTGTGGTCACTGCAGGGCGCACTCTCACCCCCGCTGGGCAGAACGTCAAACAGAGGGTAAGTCCTAGCAGAGGGTTCGACACACCGGAGCCAGCAGGGTTGCCCACAAGGCTGGGTCATCCTCAGCACAACCTCCCACGCCTGATTCTGCAACTATCTTTCTCATGGGGGAATGGAGGCGTAAGTTTTAGAGGCTTAAATTAGAACCTGAACCCAAACAGCAGTGACAGAGATGATGGTGCGGTCCGACACTGGCTCAGCACTCAGCGCACCAGCACTGCGAAGGCACTCTTACTGGCATTTTACAGAGGAAGGGCTGAGGCTCAGAACTGACCATAAGCTTCCCTCTGGCCACAGTGCTACAGCCTAGGTCTAAGCTCAGGCATGTCTGACTTCAGGCCCTGGGGTCTCAGCCATGGCTACACCTGGGACTCACCCTGGGAGTTGGTTAAAAACAGGAGTCCCGGCTCGGCACCCATATCTCAGTGGTTAGGGCACCAGCCACATGCACTGGGGCTGGAGGGTTCAAACCCAGCCAGGGCCTGCTCAGCAACAATGACAACAACAACAAAAATAGCCAGGCGTTGTGGCAGGTGCCTGGAGACCTGGCTACTTGGGAGGCTAAGGCAAGAGAATCGCTTAAGCCCAAGAGTTTGAGGTTGCTGTGAGCTGTGACGCCAAGGCACTCTACCGAGGGCAACATAATGAGACTCTGTATCAAAAAAAAAAAACAAAACAGAGGAGTCCCATGCCAGGGCTCTGCCCTCCCTCCATTGGTGACCAAGTGCAGCCAGGTCCATCCCTCAGAATCCTGCCCTGGATGCTAAGCTGGAGGTGATGCTGGGTTGGCCTCATGTCCCCCTTACTTTGTGGGTCATGAGAAGAGGCAGAGGGAAGGGAAGCACCTGCCCAAGCAGTGGGAAGGCAGGTTCAGAGAGTTCCCTGGCACAATGGGGATACCTGTCATCTCCAGGTCAGAACTGATGGGGAAGTGCCAAGGACCTAAGCCATAGCCATTTAGACCACAGAGAGCCTACCACAGGTGCCAGAGAGCACCTGACACAGCAGCCTCGGGCACCTACCACGGCGGCCACGGGGAAGAGATAGGGGTGGTTGCAGCACTTCTTCAGGTCCATCATGATATTGAGCAGTGACACCTGGTTCCCGCCCCCCTTGGAGTTCAGCGCCTCGAAGTTCCGTGTGAGGATGAACTTGTAGTACTTCCTGCAGGGGGCACAGGACAGGAAGGCTGCACCCCTGAGCCAGGCCAGCCTCCCCGGGGACACTCCCTCCCTGCTCTCCAGGGAGGCTGGTGCCTGGTGACCAAGCACAGGGAGACCTGGGGATCCCTGACAGGTGCAGCCACAGGCCCAGAATCACCCTGTAAGCTCCTAGGGAACAGGCTAGAACTCAGGGAGCCCAGACCCTGGTCACTAAACCTGACAAGAGGCCCCAAGAAGGAAGCTTAGGCTAACGGTGAGCTGCAGCCGGGTGGGGCCGGCGAGGCACCCCAGGAATCCCAAGCTGGGGCTGTAAGTAGGGTGGCTAAGGAGACAAGCCCGAGGTGGGGCAGGGGGAGGCTGTTCCACGACGGGGCCCCAGTGAGCCCCATCACTCACTTCTGCATCTGGCTGAGCTCCACACGGACAATGAGCTCGGTCTTGGCCGGCATGTTCTTGAAGACATCAGCCTTGAGCCGCCTGAGCATGTGTGGCCCCAGCAGGTCATGCAGCTTCTTGATCTGGTCTTCCTTGGAGATGTCGGCAAACTCTTCCAGGAAGCCCTCCAGGTTGCTGCAACAAAGAGCTGGGATAAGCATGGAAGCAGGCCAAGCCCCCTGCAGAGGGGGTCAGGATTGGAGCTGGGGGTGCAGGGTCCAGCTGGCTGGCTAGTGGAAGGGGGAACCCTGGCATTGCCCTGAGTGTCATCTCAACTTCTGAGCCTATGTTACCCTGCACACACCCTTGTCTCTCCCAGACATGTGGGATCCTTTCATCCTTAAAGCTGTCCCAAGTCAGAGACTATTACCCAGATTACAGAAAACAAAGCTGAGCCGAATGGGCCCCCAAGGCCAGGCAAAAGCTGCCCTCAGATCTATGCCTCCTAATTCCAAAACCAGCTCTCTTCAACTCGAGCAGAATGGGGCAGGAGGCTGGGGCTCCAGGGCTCCTTCTCCACCACCTCTGTCCCCGGCTCTCCACCTGCCCTCACTGTGCCCACATGAGCCACTTGGGCATCACTGGGAAGTAAAGGAGCAAGTCGAGAATGTGGGGGCCAGGACAGGTGCCCCAGAGGAGCCCCATGAGGTCTTATGGGGCAAAGCTAAGGGGAAATCTAGGCATTAGCAGCAGCTGGTGTTTCCCAGGCACCCGGCATATGCTGGTGCCACATCCCCCTGCAGGAGGTCACAGAGGGGACCACACAGCTGGCGCTCCCACTTTGCTGACGAGGAAACCAAGGCCCAGCAGGTGTCAGCACCAAGACAGCCCCGCCCCTAGCCCCTAGCCCCGCCCCAGCCCCTGGCCCCGCCACCCACATCCCTGCCTGGCTCGGTGACTCACTTGAACCTCTCTGGGGTCAGGAAGTTGAGGAGATGGAATAGTTCCTCCAGGTTATTCTGAAGGGGGGTCCCTGTAAGCAGCAGCTTGTAATCGATCTTGTAGCTGTTCAGGACCCTAAAGAACTTAGGGGAAGAGAGGGACTCCCATCAGACCCCAAGGCAGCTCTGGGCTCCGGCAGTCTCCGAGAGCCTCAAGACCAGCACCACTTACCTTGGACTGGTTGTTCTTGAGCCGGTGGGCCTCGTCCACCACGAGACAGGCCCACTCGATAGAGCCCAGGATGGCCTGGTCGATGGTGATAAGCTCGTAGGAGGTCAGCAGGACGTGGAACTTGATCTGCACTTCTTTCTGGAGGGGAAGAGGCACGTTTGGAAGGGCAGAGCCAGGAACAGAGCAGACCAAAGTCTCAAGAGACCAAGAGTCAAGAGGAGGTTATGGCTGGGAACCCCACAAATACTCCAAGGAGCCTGGAGCCTGGCCAGCCGAACAGCAGAGAGGACACAGGCCACCAAGCGGAGGGGGTGCAACTGAGGCCCAGAGCACAGCCCTGAGAAAAGCTGGTGTGCAGGGGAATGAGAAGTAACCACCACACCGACCTCTGTTCACAACGGTACTAGCTGCCCCCGATGCGCAGGTGGTTCAAGACAAGTCCTGTGCCCCAGAGGAGCCCCATGAGGTCTTGTGTGGCAGAGCCCTTTTCTCCACTCTCACCTCCCCCAGGAGCTGAACAAGCTAAACTGTCACTACTCTGTCACTGCCTACAGTCAGAGCTCACAGGGCCGCAAGATGGAGCACTCTTCCAGTCTCCATGGCTAACAAATGGCATAGCCAGAAACTGAACAGAAAGAGGGCCCCCACGCTCTGGGTTTAATGCCCTGTAGTTGCTGATTTGAAATTCTTAATCAAATTTTATTGTTGAATTTGTGTTTTATAAGAAAGTCCCAGGGCACAGTGGAGCATGCAAGGCACCTCCTCCTTCTCAGGCCCCAGTTCCCTGCACCCACCAGGTGACCACTGTGCCTGGCCACCCTGGGTGCTAGTGGAAAGGAGGCGTCAGGTGCGTGCTCCATGCACGAACGTGCAGCGTGGGACTGCGGTGCCTGTGCGTGTCTGCCTTCCCCAGCCAGCATGCCCCTGCTCGAGGAAGCACAGCATGAAACACCAAATAAACAGCATGGCAAGTGGGGAGAACGGTCAAGGAAATAAAGAAAAAACTGTCTTTCTGCATTTGAACAAGAGACCCTGCATTTTCATTTTGTACTGGGCACCCACCAGTGTTGCAGCCCATCCAAGCCAACCCGGCCTCTCCCAGCAACTCAAGTCCCCAGGAAAGGATCAGAGAAAGCCCCCCTGCATAGGCATAGCCTGCAGGTGGCACCTGGGCTTGCGTGCAGCCCTGGCTTTTTCGGCTGGGACCTTTGTCAAGTTAATTAATGGCCCTAAGAGTCAGTCTCCCTCACCTATCTGCATGAGGAATGCCTTGAAAATTCGAAGAACTAAGCCCATTCCTCAAAAACTCAAAAATAAGTCTGGGCACAGTGGCTCACACCTGTAATCCCCGCACTCTAAGAGGCCAAGGAGAGTGGATTGCTTGAGCTCAGGAGTTTGAAATCAGCCTGAGCAAGAGTGAGACCCTGTCTCTACTAAAAATAGAAAAACTAGCCATGGTAGTCTACTCTGGCAGAGTGAGACTCTGTCTCAAAAAAATAAAAATATGGCTCG